CTTGACGATCAATCTACTTAATAAATTCACAGCAATAGTGAAAAGGAAAGGGGAAATGGGGTCATCATGCCTCGAACCTCTTTTAGCCGGGATGAAGTCCCTAGACACTCCATTTATCAACATCAAAAAGTGTACTGAGTTAATACACCCTTTGATCCACATTCTCCATCTCTCTCCCAACCCAATCTTTTCCAATAAGCCCAAAAGGAAAGACCAATCCATCATGTCATAAGACTTTTCTAAATCTAGTTTATAGATTAAGGCCTCCCCTCCTAGCTTCCTTTTCTTTGCCAGACACACATTTGCCACTAGGATTTGATCCACAATTTATCTCTCTTCTACAAAAGCTCCTTGGTTCTAAGTGGTGACAATTGGCAAAATGGTTTCCCATCTTCTTGCCAAGACTTGGTAATAATCTTATAGAGAATCACCTTTGACAATCAGGTTGGTCAGGCCTAAGTCTTCTTGCAATACGGAGGCCATTTAAGTATTTAACACTGCTACGACTTCAGCTGTTGTAGAGTCTGCAGTCCCTAATGGTCCACTAAAGAACCACAAAGGACTACCATCCCTCCTCATAAACGCACCACCACAACCAGCTAGACCTGGGTTCCCTAGAGCACTTCCATCAAAGTACAAGGTCACCTCCTCCTCTTCCCTTGACTAGGGAAGGTTAGTAGTTCTCATAGAACTAGGTGAAGAGAACAGCAGCTCCACCAGGTTCTGCTAAAGCATGTTTAGAGAGAGGTCTTTGTACATCTTGAAATCCAGCATCCACAAATTGCATAAGTGAGAGATATGAGAGCTTAGGTCTTCCAAGGTTCTAGCTTTGTTATTAAAAATGTGGTTGTTTCATTCTTCCCAAACATGAAACACCCTACATGACTGCTTGGGCCACCGTGTTCTAGTAGAGTTTTCCCCCTTGACTTAGCCCTCTCCCTTGTCATTGCCACAGAAAACAAGAGGACCTTGGAGACTGGCTCACTACCCAGATGAGGCTAGAGATCTGTTATACTCCTTGAATGCATCTTTAATCTGGATTCTCAGGAATTTAAACTCTGTAGTAATAGTATAATGCCTTTGTAACCTGTGTGTGACTAGCCTTTGTACATCATCTCGTGTACTCTCTTTTCTCTCTTTTATAAAGTTTAACTCTTTTTCTCAAAAAAAAAAAGAAAAATCTTATAGAGACTCCCTATGAGACTTATAGGTCAAAAATCCTTTGGAGCTTTAGCTTCTTGCAGCATTTGCTCCCAGTGATATTTCCCCGTTATGATGAAACTCAACAAAGACATCCATCAGGTCATCTTTTATAATCTCCCAAAAATCCTAATAAAAATCCATAGAGAAACCATCAAGGCCCGAAGCTTTAGATCTCTACATAGAAAACACTATGTCATGGACCTCTTCCTCACTGAAACTCCTCTCTAAAAGAGCTGCTTGGGTTTCAGGCACTCAGTCCCAGACCAAATCCTACTCATCAAGGTTCCCTTCTCCTATTGTGGCAAAAATTGATTTAAAATGATCCACAAAGACCTCAATGATGTCCTCCTCCACACTAGAAATCAGGTTCTTTCTTCTTCTATTTTCTAGGGAGTGAGAGACTTTTGTGCTACCATCTCCTTCCAAGAGCCACTTACACCAAGATTTTTGTCTCCAATAAATTTCTTCTTTCCTCAACAACTCTTCTAGGTGCACTTTTAGACTCCACCTTTCTATTCTTTCCTTCTGACTAACATTCCTAAATCCTATTTTTCAAGTTATTCAAGGTGGGCAGGAGTCCTTTGGCTGATCCAACTGAGATTTTCAGCAGCTGGCAAAGAATTCAAGGTGGAGTTAAAATCAAGATCCTTGGACTTGCATTCCTTTTGCTGTTTGCTGGGAAATATGGAAGGAAAGAAACAGAGGGAGCTTTAAGGAGAAAGAGAAAAGAATGGAAGAGTTGGTAGCTGCTATTAGTTCAACAGTTTTTGGCTGGGTGCTATTGCTTCCAGAGTTTCAAGGACTGCAGAAAAAAGACTTTGGAGCTAAATTTTGGTCTACTCTGAAGTCTTGAAAGGAGTACTGAGATTTGACTTGCTTCTGAAATGGTGTTTCTTTTTTGTTTTGTAGCTTTCATTGCTGTAACCAGGAGGGGGTGACATCTTGTCGCTTAACTATGTTGTATTGTTTTTTTCGTTTTAGCAATAAAATATCTTTTTATTTATCTTCAAAAAATATCCTCTTTAGAATTCTGTTTTATGAGTCTTCTAATCTCCCAAATTCTTGCTTGTTCCAATCTTTTAACCTTTTTTCAACCTTTTTAGTTTTCCAATGAATCTCACCCCCTTTTTCCTCACATTAATTCCACTTTCCCTCCACCACTCTTTTATCTTTTCCTTGAACTTAGGGACTTCCAACCACATGTTTTCAAATCTAAAGGGTGTATGGGCCCCAAGGAAGGTTTCCTTATTTAGGCACAAGGGAAATGATCAAAGGTTACCCTGGGAATGCATTCACAACTAAATTTCCCCACAACCCCTCCCAATCTATAGTGAAAAGGAACCTATCCAACTTAGAGCACACTGAGACTTCCTGAAATTTGACTAGGTAAAGGAGGCTTGTAGTATAGGGACTTCCTTCAACTCTAAGGACTCAATCACCTCATTGAACCTTCTCACACTAGTGGTTATGACTCGGCTTGGGTTATTTGTTTCATTTGTGTATCTTATTACATTAAAATCACCACCAAACACCAACGTCCCTCCCATAAACCCCTAATTGCACTTAATTCTTCCCAAGAGAGGTCCTTTTCTCGATATGAGTTAGGGCCATACACATTTGTTAAGACGCATTCCCTTCCATTTTTTTAGATAATTGACCCATTCCCTTCCATTACCCACATTCGTTTCTTTTATCGAGACTGAGAATTGACCAATCAATTCCTCTTGACAATCCACTTCCCCATTTCTCCACACTTCCCCAGCTCAACCCTCTGCTACTCCAAATACTCCTTATCCATCTTCTATCTAGTTCAAAGAGCATTGTGTCTTGTAACATTAAAATATCCAGTCTCTCCTTCCTTAAACATTTCTTATCATTCTTCTTTTTTATCATTCCCTAAACCACTCACATTCCAACAGAGGATCTTCATTATAATCTTTTAAGACCCCTAACCTTATCCCCCAGACTACAGCTTGCCTCTCCTCTTCTCTCTCTTCCTACTCTCGCTTTTATCATGACACCCCACAGGCCAGTTTCTCAACTTCATTCATCCTGCTTTTTCTTTGTTTTTCTTTTTTTTTTTTGAAGAATAAAAGAAAAAATTTAGTCATAAAATAAAAAGCAGATTACAGCACTAACAGGGGTGTTAAGATAACACCCGAACCCACTGCCAACAACAGCAAGGCTTACAATGACACAAGACTAACCAAAGAAAGACTGAGACCCCCCCCCCCATACAGCAAGGCTTACAAAGACACAAAACTAACAAAAGGAAAGACTGAGAACCCCCCCCCCTTCATATATTGGCTAGTCCTCAGGATCAAACGTCGTGCCCTGCCCGTCATCTTCCTCATCCCAAACTTCTTAATTGATTCTTTTTTAGAACTATTATGTCTTTTTTAGAAAGGTAATAATCTGCTTCTTCACTACCTTGCTTCAAGCACAAAGTATCGATACACCTCCATGTATCAGCATAGGTGTATTGGTACTTTTAACGATACTCCCCCCTTTTTTATTTTCTTTTGATTTTAAATTTCAGCTTTAAATATAATTATATATATTATTTAAAAAAAAAGTTTCTGAAAACACCTGTAAACAGGTGTATTGGGAACCAAAAGATATGATACAATATGCCCAATACGGGGCATWTCATATCGAAATCTTGATCCTTGGCTTCAGGTAATCTTTCCCCACTTCAATGTCTTTTGTTGGTTTCCAGGCYCCACTTCTCTCTTATCGCTTTGTTCATCCAACTCTACAAACACTGCCAAGTTTTCTAAGACCGTCCCCATAATTTCTTCCTCCTCCAGAACCACTYCCCTCTCTCTTCCTTTCTTTCCCACTGCACAAGGATCATTTTCCGCACCAGGAAAGGAGTTAGCAACTGGATCTGCAAACATAACTTGGAGTTGACCACCATAAATTGGAGTGCATTATTACCACATAAAAAAACTAATCTGTCTCCATATAAGTTGGGACAGGTCAGTGTTGCATGGACTATACTAAATGGATGATGTGTCTGGGACACTTCTATGTAAAATTTCCTTTTTATCTCCTAGTTTTTTGGATAAGTAAATGAAGCATTTTATTAATGAACATCATAAATGTGGAAAATTACATACAGCCCTTAGGAAGGGTACTGACTACTACCCCACCTCAATATCATTACAACTATTATAAGCAAGCCCAATACAATTGATTCCTGTTAACCCCTTGCATAGATAAAACATCRGATAACCCATTTGCCAATCTCTGCATCAATTRTGTCTCTATAACCATGCTCCTTGTCAACCATTCAATCTCTGCACCCATATTATCTCCTAGTTTATTTGACATAAATGAACAGTTGATGTGCAAGATGAATACTTTTTTGTATCAAATGTTACTTGGTACCAACGGCAATATTTTCAACCCCTTTTACAGGTATATAATGTTAAAATTAAAAAAAAAAAGAACTATTTTCCTTGTATATCCTTTTCCATAGACTTTTCCACAAGTTCATGTTTCTCACTTGCCAAGTCAGTCAGACTCTTGGACATGCATCAGCTTCCAACTCCCATGTTCATTTCCAATGCAACATTAGAACAGATAGAAAAGCAAAAAACAAAACAAAGTAGAATGACAAAAACACCCCTGTTTACTTGCCACTTAACAGTAAAGCTATTTTGTTTGGTTCCCTTGCTTTTCCAATCAAAGCAACTTTTAAGATCCTAGAAACCAAGAATAACATAACATAACCATTGCACAACAATCTTGATCTGTCAAAGTCAAGAAACTTGAACACAAGTAACACATACCTTTGAAGCAGCGTCCCTGCAAAGAAGCTCTTCCAAGCGTCTTGCAATACCTGGTATCTTTGGCTGCATTTCTTGATTTGCTTGTGCTTGCCGCAGGAGAAGATGGTAGCTGGAAGAAACAAACAAATAAAAAAAGGTTAATCAATAAGAAACACATAAGGTGGCATTTCAATCATACATGGCATAATGTTTTACTTTGAGAAGTAGATAAAATTGGATGTCTAAGAAGCTCTAGGATGGAGAGGAGAGTGGAGCAAGTAGGCGAGRGAATTTTTTTTTTATCAATAACATGAACGTTTCATTAATATAAGAGATTAAAATACATGGAGGGGAGATAAACTATCTTAACTCCCCAAGGGAGCAGAAAAACATTCAAAAGAAAGAGAAAACATTTACAAATGAGCCCAGAAAATAGAATCCCTATGCHCCCCTTGCCTAGCTAGTCCATCAGCAAAGGAATTGGTACTTCTCTAGTTCTCTTTACCCAAATACATTTTATATCAATGTCCTTTGTTAGGCACTTAAACTTTCTCTTCTCATTGCTGTAGTTCCAGAGACCGATCTTGTCCTCCTTCGACCAGTCCACTACTATCTCAGAATCTCCTTCTATGACCAATACAGATACTCAGGTCCCTAGCTCTTTTAATCCCTTCCAAGGCCAACATTACCTCAGCCCTAAGGGAGTCTCCCATTCCAATTGGACCAGAAAACATGGTTATTATATTGCCTTGTTCATTCCTTAGAACGCCCCCAATGCCAGAACACCCTGGATTTCCCAAACTGCTACCATCGAAATTCAGCTTGATGAAGCCATGAGGGGGAGGATTCAATAAGGGACTTGAGGTCATCTTAGTTGAGACTGTAATCCATTTGCAACCTGCACTCCTTGTACTGCTGCAAGCAACTCTGCTTTGAGAGAGTCACCCAAGCCCACGGGGCCTGAGAATAAAGCTACAATTTTACCTTTTGAGTCTCTCAATACCCCTCCTATACCAGATGGGCCTGGATTACCTTGACTGCTCCCGTCAAAGTTCAGTTTCACAAAGCCTTCCATTGGAGGTATCCAATGCATCTCCACACTTTCCTTTCTAGAGGAACTTTTGGCAATTGCTTCCCAGTTCCTCCAAACATCATCAAAGGAGAATTGGGAGAACAATTCCACAGTCTTTATCCAATGGATCACCCTGACCATTATACAATCCCTAACAGCTTCTTTGCTCCTCTCTTTTTCTAAGAATATTCTAGCATTCCTCTCTTCCTAGATAGTCTACACCAAGGCAGCTCTAACACATCTCCACATTGTTCATCCCCTCAGCATAAACATGGAAGGATCGAAAAGCATGTTGACCTCTGATGATGAAGTCCACCTACACCCAATCAAAGAGAAAAACCGAAGCCAAATCTCCATAACAAAGGGACAAGAGATCAGTAAGTGATGRCAACTGTCAGTATTGGATTTACATAAGATACAGCAGTTAGGAGAGAGACAAGAATTAGGCATTCTCTTTTGTAACATATTCAAAGTATTAATCTTCCCATGCACTACTTCCCAACACAAACACTCTTACTTTGGGTGGAATGGGTCTACACCAGAACTCAAGGTTTTACTAATTTTCACCTCTTTGTTCAGCACCAATTCCATATCCACTACTCTCTCAACTTCGTGAGCCTCATCTATAACTATCTCTTCCTCCTCTGTAGCCAAAGTTGCACCATCCTCATCGCCTAACTCTTCATTATCTCGTAGAGGTCTAGTTCTATATTTTTGTTTTCTTCTGTAACTCTTGACAATGACTTTCCTTCCTTTTCATTTTTTCCAACATTTTATCTACTGCTTCACTACCACCCTTGAGATCAGCATCTACCAACTCTGACCCTTTTTGGAAGTTGCCCCTCGCTCCCCTTTCTCCATGTATTTTCTTCCCCAAACTGTTCTCTCTTCCCTCCCATTTTTCTTCCTTTGATATTTCCTTCCTTTTACCATCAACTTCTCTAATCATGTCTTCTCCTTTGGGAAATTCTTTTTCCAACTATAGAGACACTCAGCAACTTTAGAATCCACCTTCCCATCTCTGATTTTTCTCGCTGAAATATCTCTTCCTTCTGGCTCAACCTCACCTGAGACATAGACTGACTGATGGCTAAAGAGTTGGACAAGGCCCAACAACTCTCATTATTTCGTTGTGGACCCTCGGATATCAGACAGATGTATGAGCATGCAACTTATGCTATTATATTACTTATCCTTTCCTAAGAGTCAAATCTTAAAACATCAACTATGTTTTATTATGTATAACTAAAAATATTTCATAAAGGAAAATAAAAAGGTAAATATCATTATAAACTTGAAAAAAAAAATAATGAACTTAAAACAAAAGAATCATATCAAAACAAATTATCTGAATAATGCCTACGTACATGCACATGTAAATTAAAAGTCTTACATTGATATAATTAACAAACTAAAATTTGTTGAGGGGTGTGTGTGTGTATATATATATTAAAGAACTGGTGAATGTATTGAGATATGCTCCAATAATATCTCATAACAGTACCATGGAAATGGAAACATTTCATGAAAATATTAGGAAATATTTAGGCATTTTAAACCATGAATCAAATACCTTCTTGCTTATGAAAAAGGAACACTTTTTCTCAAAATTCTTTTGTTCTCTTTTCAATTATTATTTTACATTATGCTCCTCTTTATTAACATAATTATCCATTTGCTCATAAAAGAAATACTTAGCATTCAACCTGCACAAATGGACAATGTTTGGGCTACCACTTAAGATTGCAGGAGTGACCCTGTTTAGGTTACCACATGTCTGCAAAAGTCATACATAGTCACGCTTGTGCACACTCTTGATACCAATGCAGTTAAATATGTTCTAAAGAAGCATTTCAATAAAGAAAATATCATCAATAAGTAAAACCCTCAAATTTTAATGTTAGGAACCGAAATCTTACATTCTTTCTAGCATCTGTTTGCGCACCTCACGAAACTCATGATCCATAATTAAAGAACTATGAAGACCACCTAGATTTTGTAATTGAGAAGGCAGAGAATTTCCATTCTGCTGGGATAGGGCAGGCAACTGGGAACCGGCTTGACTAGGTACCTGCCCTGAGACCTGTCCCGACATTGGAGCCTGCACATGCATATTTACTCTGTAGACCTCTAAATACCAAGTGTGTCAGCACCTAGAATTTTACAGTTCCACCATTGGGATCTCCAAGACCACCCAAAGTTAGAACTGCCAGAGTAGAGTAGCCCAAAACAAAAGAACTGAGGCCAAAATGACAACAACAGTAGCCCCATTTTTTATCACCAAAAATCATCTGCTGATGTCTTCATTAACTCACAATCTGAGGTACATAGAGATACTTGAATTTGAAAATAATCTGGAAATTGGAACCTGAAAGGAACATATGGCAAAGGGCTCAAGAATAAGGGCATAAGATATCAAAGCATTTACTCAACACAGAATTGAAGATCAGTTTAAAAACACAAATTGCTCAAATAAGAAAAAAATAAAGAAGCAAGAGTTAACAAGAAAATAATACAAAAAATTGATGCAGCATGTATTGGAGAAGTATTTAAAGATTGTACAGGGAAAGTTTTGGCTATGTTTTCAGGACCCTTGGCCCTTGGGGCTGGGAGATTCACTAAAGGCTGAGCTGATGGCATTACTACAAGGATTACGAATTGTCAAGCAATTAAATTTTCAGCAATTGGAAGTAGAGGGAGATTCAAAGATGATCATTTCTTAGGCCAGCAGTAAGCAGCTTGTTCCATAGATCTATAGGCACGACTTCGGGGAAATAGAAAGCACCAAGCAGGAGCTGGACAATATCTTTCAATTGAGTTAGAAGGATAGCAATTGGGATGGACAATACTTTAGCAAAAAAGGGGTATATAGACAACAATTGTTTTGGGCACTATTGTAATTGTAACTTTGTTGGGACTGGATTGTTATTTTGGGTGAATATACCCTTTCCTTGTATCAACCAACCAGCTTCATAATTTAATATAATTCTAAATTCCTTGCTGATCAAAAAAAAAAACTAATGTAATAAGACAAGAATATATGACAAATCAAAGTAGAAGGGATTTATGTGATGTAAAACATGCATTTCATAATAGATTTATTATCTGTTAGTCTAGATGAAAATGTAGGGGCCATTACTTGGTTTAATGGTAAAATCTCAGGCTGGCACACATGAGAACATGGGTTCAAGTCTGAGGACAGCAACTTTGTGCAAAGAAATGCCAAAGGTTAGGACCTTACCCAGTTTACCCCTCCCAAGACTTCAAGACAGCGGGGACCAACATTGAGTAACGGCATTTTTTAGTCTGAATGAAAATGTACAGTGATAGAAAAAAGTCCATACAGAAATTCTGGAACATAAAGAATGATAAACATATCAATGTAAAAATGAAACAACTTCATAGGAGTTAATTCATTTTCTGAGTTTATTCTTTCACCAATTTCAATTTGGAAAAAGAATCAATATTTTCTATTTACCTAGCTACCCATTAGACTTAACAAACAGCTAATGTACAAGATGAATGTCATTTTCATACAAAATCTTGGGGATAAATTACTTAATCCCCCCGAATGTTTTTGACAAATACTTAAACCTCCCCTGAATTTTAACCTCTCCAAAAACATGTCCTGATGTTTGGGGAAAACTAAGTTATACTTGAACCTCCTTTCTGCCAATTTGACGTTGAGAAACTAACCAATTCATGCTTTTAACAACTTTAAAATTGCCAATTTGCTGGCATTGCATTAAAAATTTATAGAAAATAAAAATAAAGCAAAGGACAAAGAGAAGGAGCTCAAGTCTCCTTTCTTCCCCGTCACCAACCAAACCAAAGGCAAAGAGAAGGAGCTCAAGTCTCCTTTCTTCCCCGTCACCAACCAAACCAAAGGCAGAGAGACACAGAGAAAAGAAAATAGAAGGAGAAAGGAAGCCTGCCTATGGCTTAAACATGTTTTTTGACGGGCCATCCTTACCCAAACAAGAAAACTGAACACACTTAGGATCAGATTCTAAGGAAATCTAATCTTCAGGAAAAGCTAAAATATCTAATTACATCAGTTCATATGGTCCTCTACACCTTGGCTATTTCGAAATAAAGGGCCCCTCCTTACAGGGAAGCCTGTTGTTTCTAGATCCGGACCTCTTTCAAATCTGTAGCTCTGTAATTGGGATCATTGGAATTGGTTCTGAAGATGGAATCCACCAAAGTTGACCCAAAAGGAATGGGTGCTCAACCAGGATACCAGGAGGGAGAGAAATACCTTCTTGACGGTCTCACAAGACGTCCTCTCATGTCCATATTATCTACACTACTTGAAGAAGAATCTCCAAAGGGTCTTTCCCCTGAGCTGGTTCCCAATGAAGATCACACTAAGACAGCTGAAAGGATCATTTGGTTCCCATGAGGTAAGCAATTCCTTCTTTCTAAAGAACTGCAACGCCCCAAATAGGAAACCAAGGTCATTATATGGACTTGGTTCTCTCTTCATTCCAAAGAACAAGCTTGTGGTCTTTGCCAATGGTTGGATTGTGGTGATGGTGCTGTCTGTGTAGCAATGGTGTCATAGAGGGGTTTGCAGCAATAACAGTCTCTCAACGAGAAGGTGTTGGGTGAAAAGGGTGAACAGGGAGGAGCTCTTTCTCTCTTTTCTCTCTGGACTTTTTTCTCTTGTTTGGAACTCAAATATCCCTTTATCCCCTAGTTTTCTCTTCTCTGGGGCTCCATCTTCTCTGGTTTGACCGATGACAGGAAAGAGAGGAGATCGAGCTCCTTCTCTCTCTTCTTTGTTTTATTTTTATTTTTGTTTTCTATAACTTCTTAATGCAACATCAGCAAATTGGCAATTTTAAAGCATGAACCAGTTAGGTTTGCAAGGAGAGCTCTAATTTCTATTCCTCATGTTGCCCAGCTTCACACTAATCTTTTTTTATAAGTTCCATTATCAAAACGCAGAATTGTTGTGTAACCTTTTTCCCTTCTAAATGTTTTTCCAAGACCCAAGTTTGGGGATGACAATTGGAAGTGCATAAAAAGTCAATGGAGTTTACCTTCTGGATCAATTTTCAACTCAAGTTGTGTATGATTCTAAGTCTTGTAGTGTCAACGTTACCAGTCAGCTGAGTCAATTAAAATTGTAGCATTGTTCATCTTGGTCATATTTCTTTTGAGTCAACTTTTGTTTCCTAATATATCCCAGTCAACATCAACCCATGATCTACAGTGAGAAGTGTGTCATCTGTCAAAGCATTATAGAATGAAATATTTTCTTTGTAATAAAAGAATTAAGTTTTCCTTTCCATCTAGTGCACACTGATGTATGAGGACCTTCTTTCCATTGCTTGCACGGGGAGATACAAATATTTCGTTTTATTTACTGATGATTTCTTCAGATACACCTGGATATATTTAATGAAGAGTAGAGAAGTTCCTGAAATTGTTAACTTTTAAACCATGATAGAGGCACTATTTGAGGGGAGAGTCAAAGTGCTTACATCTGGCAATGCTCAAGAATACTTTATAAAAAAAAACTTGCAACTTTTCCTTGAAGAGTGAGGAGTAATCCATCGAAGCTCTTGCCCACATACCCCTCAGCAAAATAGTGATGCTGAAAGAAAAAAATGGGCATGTCATGGAGGTTGTTCACATCTTGTTGTCCCATATGAATATTCCTATCCTCTTTGGAAAGCTATTCTCAAGACTGTTGTGTAACTTTTTTTCTTTGTTTTTGAACATAAGACTGTTGTGTATCTTATTAATAGGTTGCCTACCCAAATTTTGCAGTTGAAGTCCCACATCAGTTATTGTGTCCTAATGATCCTATGATTCTTCTACCCTTAAAGGTCTTTGCATGTGTGTTTTGTCCATGATGTAAGTCATAGTTGTCAAGTCAAAGGGATAGGGAAAGAAGAGGATTTGATTCCAAACTGCCTAGTATTTTCTGTGGATCGGATGGTAGGGGGAGCAAATGCATATTCTAACTTTGGATATTGTGGTACGCCAAGTGAGGTCCTAAATTGTGATAAACCACACTTATTTTAAAACATAATGGGATGAGGGATGAGGGATGAGGGAGTGATTCAATTATAACAGACGACAGGCCCAATTGAAAATTAGGGTCGGGGATTCAACCTTGGGTGCTTTATGCTAAGGGTGTATAGAAGAAAAAGGAAATAACGAACTAGACCTTTCCAAGAAAATAGCATTGTTGAAATGGACAAAGATGGAGATGATGAAGATAGTGACTCAAATGATTTAAGCAATGACAAGGTCCAGGTGGATGGGATTCATGTTATTGAAAGAGTAATTGATTTAGAAAAAGTGCTGAATACAGAGGTGGAAGTGAGCAAAGTAACTGAAAGAGAAATATAGGATGCCTATGAATAAGAGTGCTGGAGGAGTTGTTGATGAAGTGATAATAAGGAGAAAAAAGATCGAGGTAATTCGGTATCTAATGAAGTAGCAGAGACTGTTGGCATTGGGGCTGGTAAGTAGGCTTTTTATCAATTTATGAGAAGAATGCAGCCCTAGAATTATATAAAAAAAAAAAAAAAAGATCAATGCAAGATCAAAAGACTCACAGATGCTTGAGAATATTCCAAATGCAAGATTAAAAGAGGGTTTATTTGGTGTTGGCCTACCAAGAAGGTGAAGAAAATAAAGAAGGGATGTAAGAGAAGAAAAGAAATTGCTGCTCAAGAGCTTGAAGCAGTCATGTAGTTAATAAATTGTGAGATGAGTTATGTTGGAGACTTGGCTTTTTTGCTGTATTGTTGGTTTTTTTGGTGTTGTGGTCTGTAGTGATTTTGTTTTTGTGATGTGTTGAGTTTTTTTTTTTTTTTTGTGGTTTTGCTTATCTTTCCTGCTGTGGGTTGAGGTGGTACCATGGTAATTGTTAATGGCGTCTTATCACCTTCTTGTGTTCCTCTTCCTTATTCCCTAATAAATTTTCTTTTTTATTTGTTACCAAAAAAAAGGTGATGCCTAGGTGATAAGGTGCCCATGGAGGACTGCCTCGCTCAATCGCTCAGGTATCTTGTACTAAGCAAGGAAAAACTCTTTGTCCAATCAATACATATTGGACAAAACTCTCCTTAATTTAAAACATATATAATCAACACATATTGGATAAAAATTCTTTTCTTTCTTCCATTTTTTTTTCATGATTGTCGATTTCCTATGTTTTAAATGGTTTATACATTGAGGGAGATTCAAAGCTTGTTATAAGTTGGCTCCAGAAAGAAGAGGAGGTTGGATGGTGGTTCTACATATATGAGAAGGGGAAAGCTGTCAATTGGTTACAAGGATAGAGGTAACTTGTAAGTGGGTCAAGAAAGATGCAAATGCTTTTTCTGATATACTTGCTAAACAAGGGGTGGGAAGGAACAGTTTATTTTGGGCTGTGATGTAATTCATTCGGGGAGGGGCTAAGAGAATCCATCCCTTCCCCTTTCATTCTCTTCTATTGTACATAATATCTTTTTTAATAGTATTATTGCCTTTGCTATTGATCAAAAAAAAAGAAGAATTGCCCTATGATTCGCAATTTTAATTCAAAAAAAAAGCATCATCTAGCCTTGCCTTGGCACTTTGAAAATTATAATGTCAACCCTAGTTGGTGAAAAGTTTGATCCCAATGCTATTTGTTGTATCTTCCTTGGCTACTCATCCATCTAAAGGGGGTATAAGTGCCTTGATTCTTACACAAGTACGAAATATATTTCCAAGGATGTTACATTCGTTAAGTCTGAGTCATTCTTTCCACCTCCTTGACCTTCTTCAAGGGGAGAGTGCTAACAAAGATCAGACTCCTCATTTCTGTTTCCTATTCCTTCTTGCAACTCTAGAGTCCCATCAAAGCCCTTGCAGGTTTTTTTCTATGCATAAGAAGGTATCTCCTGAGACCAGCACAATCAGAATCTCCAATTGTAAGGGTAATAGGCAATGTAACCAGCCATCTTCTATTGCCTATCCCATTTATAATTATGCTTCTTTTGATGCCCTTTCACCTTCATATTGCGCCTTTCTTTCTACTATCTCTTCTATTTCAACTACTTGTAATGGATATATGGAGAGAGAGAGAGAGAGAGAGAGAGAGATCCTGGGTAAAGAGGTTATCTAATGAACACATGTAGTGCGAATTACATCAAGAACAACCATGAATCTCAAGTTTAACAAGAACATCACTAAATTGAACTGCAACCAGAAGTGAATACTATATACGTCTGTATATATTTGTTAAACAGAAACTAAGCAACCATAGATAATTACAGGTAACAGGATTACCTGTGACACAAGAAGCACTATAATTCTCCCCGTCGTTACAACAATTGACTTTGGTTTTCCACTTCGCCTATGCACCACTACCACTACAATTGGATGAAGGAATAAATATAAATTAAGAAAGTGAAGTTAAATATGATAGTTACAAAACAATAGAACAGGTAGGGATCAAAACTTTGGGTCATAACATTATGCGATAGGATCAGGATGAATCTACGAGATTCCCCAAGTAGTCGCATGGACTTCAAGGAGAATAGACAACGCTCCAGGGCCGGGTATTAAACTGAAAACAGGGTCGAAACCCTAACAAACCCTAAGTTCTATTGCAGCGAATCAGAAACCCTAGGAGAGATAGGTGGCAAAGGAAGAACGAACCTGGGTCGGCCGGAGAAGCAAGCACGCAGACGAGCTGAGGACGGAGCTCGATGACCACGATCGGAACTGGGATTGCAGTAAAATAAGTTGGATGTCTTATTCTTATCGATGGGACGTAGGAACTAGGAAGAGTGGGGAAGCCACAAGCAAATTCGCACGCACGGAGATAATCAGGAAGAATGCTAATTGCTAACGCTCGCTGGAGGAACTTTGATCTTATTAATTACAATTAAAAAAAAAAAGAAATAGGATTCTGTCTCAGCTATTCAAATTTTTGAAAGACGAAAACAGGAAACAAATACAAAATCAATTGGGCGTGCAGCGGTTGGGACAAGGGAGGTGACCATGCCGTTTGAAATTTCGTCCTTATTAGAAATTAGAGAGAATGGGAAAATAAAATACTTTTATTTGTCCGTCTTTCTTATCCATCTCTCTCACGGACTCACGGTTTGTTTGGGATTTTTGGGCAAGAGCGAGTATCTGTGGAGAAATGGGAGACGACGGTAAACGGTGATAAGAAACGTAGGGACTATGGAAGCAATTCATAAATCATAGTCGGGTGAAACAGGAACCTTTGCTACATGATTTACCTTTATGGTAAGTATTGGTATAAAACGGGTCGGACCGGCACGATGTCAGAACGAGCACGGCTTGCGCATACCCTCGAGCCGGGCTGGGTATATATATATATTGATTTATTAAGGAAAAGTGAAATAATGGAAACTGATAATTATATTAATAATTTTAGTAATTTGTTATAAAATAATTTAATAATTTAGATTAATTATATTAATAATTTTTAATAAAAATAATAAATTATTACTAATTATTCAATAAATAATTATTTTTTCATATTATCCATTAGTGTTTTATTTTATTTATTTTACTTTATTAATCATTAAATGTTATAATTAAATTAATCTATAGATTAACTTTTTTAGTCATAATTAAATTAATCTAAGTCCAAGCCCAAGGTTTAAGATTGTGAAACAAATTCTCATTCCCATCTTCGTCTCCATCCTCTGTTAGGTATCGTTATCAATCCCCATCCTTGCCAAGGCAATATCCATCCCCAGCCTCATCCGGTTGAGGAAGCTGAGTAATCGATGGGATGGAAACATTGTCATCCTTATTCACATTCGAATCTTATTAATTGGTTAATTGTCACAAAATTGTAATTCAAAACCTAATAAATAAAATTAAATTTTAGCAAGTTTTTAACTAGCAACTATTAAAAATTTAGAAGTTAATAAAAACTAATAGTTCATAAAATAATAATAATAATTAAAAAATATTAAAAATAATAAAATAAACTATCTGCACTCCATATAAAAACTATAAATTTTAATCAAAATATTAAAACTAATAATGACCTAATCATAAATGCCTTAAGACTCCTACTTAGGAATCATCATTTATAACATAACCTAAACCCGGCTAAATAAACCAACAAATTTTTAGGCTCAAGCAACCCTTTCTTTTGAGCTAGGTCTAGCTCAAAAGAACACCAACCCCACACAATGTAAACAATAAGACTAAAAATGGTTTGGATTTAGATCATATCCAACTACATCAGCATCTGCATTCAATTATGAAATTTAGATCCGCATTCGCATCTGATTATTACATTGGGTTTTGGATCATCTTTGCATTTAATAACCATCTTATTGTGTTTAAAATGATAAAAAAATTAAGAGTTTTTAAAAACCAATTATTTTTAAAGAATAAATGTATATAAATATAAAATATTAAATTCATCAATTATAAACTTTATATAGTTAAACATAATATATATGTATACATAATTATTGGATTCCGATTGTTGTTGTCTAATTCATTTGGAGTTGGAATTGAAATCAACTAACAATTTTATTAATATTTTTATTATTTTATTAGTATTTTTATTTTTATTTTATTAGTCTTTAATAATTAATATCTTAATATTTATAATGAATATTTTATATTAATATTTTATTTATACTTAATATCATTTAAGTATTAATATTTTTATTTTATTATTTAGTTATTAATATTATTATAATTAAAATTATATTTCCTACCCCAAAATCTATTGCATTAATATTTTATTTATACATTATTATTATTATATTTATAAATTAATATATCTGTTTGCTATTATTATTTTATTATTATCTTATTATTAATTTAAAAATATTTTATTACTTTATTAATGTTAAGGTTTTGTATAATGAATTCTTTAGTCCTTAAGGGGGGCCTAAAATACCCAAACGTCCTTACATCCCCCATTCTCTCTCTTTAATAATATAAATGCTTTGTCTCATTCTTTCTTTCTCTCTCACATTAATACTCTCTCTCTCTCTTAATTGTCTCTCTTTTATAATATAACCTCTCTCTATTTAATTATTATAATATCTTGGTAATAGTGTGCAACTTTAAATTCCAATGATACACAACTTTGTTAATGACAATAATTATTATTCTATTTTTTTAAAACAAAAGAAAACAAGAAAATACAAAAATAAAGGAGAAAATAGATAAAAACCTATGCTACTTTTTATAAATTGCTATTTTAGTATTTTTCATAATTTTTTACTTTTTATTATTAATTTTAATTATCCTATTAATATTAATTACACAATTTTTTTATAAAACGGTCATCCCTAAGTAGCAATTAGTACTAATTTTTATTAATTTCTTAACTTTTAATAGTTGCTAGATAAAAAACTTGCTAAATTTTACTATTTGTATTAACTTTCATAATTTTTATTAATTATAGTTATTGGTTTCAAATTATAAATAGATTACTACTACTACTATTACAATTGTTGTTGTTGTTGTTATATGTCGTGTATCACACGTTACAGGTTTCAAGACGAACCGAAACTGTTTTCAAAAATGGGTCAACATAGATTCATTTAGATTGTCTTCTTTGTCTGAGTGGTAAAGTTGGTTCTACATTTTGATTTTTCATTATTTTTATTTTTATATCATTTTTAATGGGTCATCTATTTTATATAAGTCTCTTGTGCAGTATGTGCACTATGCACAATAAAGGTCTCAACTCATTAACATTATTAATTTTAATAATGGGTCGGGCCGAGCTTTGCACTTATGATAAGGGCTATAGCTTAGGCCCAGGCCGGCCCAGCCCGGGGTTCCGGGCCTGAAACATAAGCCCTAGCCCAAGTCTATACGGGCCTGAGGCAGGCCGGGCTGATTTCGGGCCAATATCACTCATATATAAAACATTCATATCTATATATTAAATGTCATAACATGCATATAAACTTATTTTATACATTATATGTCATAACATGCAATTTCTATTGTACCTGGTGGGTACCTACCTTACCCGTCCCAATGGGGTGATTTTTTTTTTTTTTTTGCTTAAAGAGCAAGTTTTGGGGTGGGGACGGATAGGGTATGGTATTAGGCTAAACCTGACCCTCCCTGACCCTTATATATTGGAAAACATATAAACTTTAAGGTGTTGAATTTAATAATATTTTGAGTTTTATGTGAATGATAATTGATAGGTTATGTGCTTTTTACATGTCTTAATTAAATAATTGGAAAATTTGCTGTTTGTTTGTGTTGTTTTACTTATTTATTGCTTATATATAGCAAGAAACAATAGGAAATTATATGTGGGTTCTAAACCTAACCTGCCCCTACCCTTGAATGCAAGGGGTAGGGTCGGGGAGGGTTTTGCATTTTTCATGTATGGGGAGGGTTTGGATTCTCATAATTCAACCCGCTATGGGTTTCGAGGTAAGTGCAAGTTAGGAGGCTTAGGGAGGTGGGTAGGGTTTAAAATTTACAAAAGCTTCCCCAATCCCGCTCTATTGCCATCCTTAACCAATCCTCAAGTCTGAAGTTGAGGAGGAGGTGCTTGACCAAAGTTTAAAGGCCGAGCTCTTCTGGTGCTTGGATGCGAAACTCTTGTCGGAATTTCTAAGTGTCAATTGAGCCATGTAAACTATAGTTGGACCATTGTGCAGGCGCTTGAGCCTGAGTGTGTGGTTGCGTCGTTTCATCTTCTTGATCTCACATGTGTACGCGGGCCTTGGCGTTCAATTTGGACCATCAATTCGCCTTGATCTTTCCGTTGGTTGTCTCCATATAAAGCGATTGCAGGCGAACCATTTTTCTTTGTCACTTGAGTGGGAGTGATTTGGGGAGCTTCCTCAATAGCCTTTGCTCTAGTAGTCTTCGCCTTTTGGTGAGGTGTCTCTTCGAGTATTGAGCGGAGCGGGAGGGCAGTATCTCAGGGAGAGGTCGTCGACATGAGGGTCCTTGAAACCGACACCAACAAGGCCAAGGTCGAAATGGATGACACTAGTGTGGACTCTACGGAGGGGGATCATGAGGTAGGTGGTTTCTTAGAAGGAGACCCCGAAGTCCATGATGACAATAAGGATCAAGTTGAGGCCGAGGTGGACAAGGAGTTTAATGAAGCTGAGAGGGATCGTTGGGTCGCCAACTGCGGCCTTCTTGGTCTTGGCAACATGCCTTGTTGCTTGATCGAGGTTGATATGGACCACATCCGGAGCATATACTTGATCCTTGGTGAGTAGAAGTTGAGGTGTTTGAAGAGGGAAAAGTGTTTGAATGAGCCCTGGGAGGGTCTTCTTGTATGAGCATAGTTTGGAAGTTGGGCTTAGGTTCTCATTAAATGAAGGATTGGTGCAAATGTTGACTAAGCACCAGGTGCTACCTGTCCAAATAGTGCTGAACTCCTTTAGGTACCTAATAGGTTGGTTGTGCTTATGAACATTGCACAACATGCCAATGACCTTTAACCTCTTCCACACCCTTTTGTACATGAACATGCTTGGCCAATTGGGATTTTACTACTACTCGCCTCGCCAAAACTTGAAGATTTTTGCTAGTGCCCCTTTGTTTGGCATATATGGAAGGATAGATACTTATTTATAAGTTGGAAGGGCAAATTGAAAATGTGTATGAGGTTGAGGACACTTGTGACCAAGGTGAAGGTGCCTCCCACTCAATGTCTAACAAATAAGGAGAGGGAGGCCTAGGGAAAAATGGCTAGTCTTTAGATCAACATGTTGGAGTATACATACGAGGCTTGACTGATTAGTGTCGAACTATGTTTAGCTTAACCTGGTAACAGTGTTGTATTGCTACTTTGTTTTGTGCTTTTTTGTTGCAAGATGCTAATTGAGTATCTTCATTTGTAGATTTTGAAATGTTGCCAACAAAGGATCACCAGAAGTCAGCCAAGGAGCTGGAAAAGCTGAAGGAGAAGGCGACTAGACTCCATCGTCTACAAAGTGCCTAGAGTCAGAAGAAGATGTATTTGGTTTGAAGAGCGTGCCTTTGGCATTCGATAAGGCCGGGAGCTCGGGCACCACATCCGTTCGACCCTCAAAGCGCCCACATGAGGAAGTGGTCAAAGTCAAGTTAGACACTAAGAGGTAGTTGATGCCCCCTTGTCTTGTGTTGTCATCAAAGTCTCAAGCACATGAGGA